GCCTATTCCCTGCAGACAGGGGTCTCTGGAGCCTGTAAATCTCTGTAAATATCTGGTGCTGAGACCCCTGAGGCACCTCGACACCTGACCCAGGCTGCTCTACCAGGGGAGAGGATGTCAGCTCAGGGCCTGCAGGGCAGAGAGAACCCAAACATCCCAGTTCTCACCCTGCTGGTGCACCTGGGATTGCCTTTCTCATGCACAGACCTTGCCCTTGCTGGGGAGAGAACAAAATACTTGGAAAGTTCCAATTAAATTTCAATAATTTATTTTTATTTTAAAAAGTTTAAATACAGTCCAAGAGCTATTAAAATCACAGAATGGTTTGGCCTAAAGTTGGGTCCAACACCCCCAGTTCATGGCAGGGACCCCTCCTGCTGGCTCAAAGTCCCATCACACCCCACCAGGCCTCAGGCACTTCCAGGGATGGGGCACCCACAGCTTCTCTGGGCACTGCCAGGGCCTCATCCCCCTCAGAGGGAGGAATTTGTTCCCAATATCCAATCTAGACCTGCTCCCTTTCAGTTTAAAGCCCTTCCCCATTTTCCTGTCACTCCATGCTCTTGTCAGGAGTCCCTTCCCAGCTCTCTGGCACTGGAAGGGGCTCTGAGGCCTCCCTGGAAACTTCTCCAGGCTGAATAACCCCAACTCTCTCAGCCTGAGAGAGCCTGATGTCAGCATTAAACATTAATTGAGTATTTTATGGCACCAATTAGCAAAAATGTCTTCCAATGAACAGCTAATTTGCTAGATTGGGGGATGACTTTGATAAAGTTGGTGTGGCACAAGCAGCCTGTGAATTGAGAAGGTCCAATCCTGCCTTGAGCTGGTTCCCAGGCTGCAGGCAGAGCCCAGGAGCTCAGCATGGCTTTGCTCTGGGCACTGCAGGGATGTTTGAGGGAGGGATCACAGAGCAGAGCCAGTCCCACATCCCACTGGGAGCTGTGCCCCTGACCAGGAGCAAACCTGGGAGCCCCAGCCTGGTCCTGCAGCAGCTCTGCCCTCCTCAGGAGGCCCAGACCTGTTTGTAACAGCACTGCCCATCCCTCTGTGCCCCTGCCCATCCTCTGTGCCCCTGCCCATCCCTCTGTGCCCCTGCCCATCCCTCTGTGCCCCTGGCTCTGAAAGGTGCAGCTCTGGGGTGCCCTTGGCACTCCAGGTAAGGACAGATCTCATCCCCTCCCAAGGGCTCCCCTCATCCTGCCCCAGAGCTGGCTGCAGCCACAGCCTGCATGGGCACTGTGGGGTGACCTAGAGAGCCCTTTGGGATCCTTCCAGCCCCATGTCAGCTGTGAGAGTCTGTCTGAGATATCCCTCATCTGCCTCACGATTGTTGTTTGGGGACCTCTGGAGAGAAGACCCCCCTGTTTAGAACCTCTGGCTCTGAAGGCGAAAGTCACACGCCAACAAGGCCCTGAGATCTGAGAGCATTGCTAAGTTATTGTTTTCACAGGTGTTTGCTGTATGCTAAGAAGGGGACACCGTGCCCTTTTTGCAACAACAGCCTTGGGAGCTGTCCCACCTCTCGGCCTGGCAGGACTTCTCCTGATTTTGGGTGGTCTCCCACAGAAGACCCTCACCTGTTTTACAACCACCATGACAGACAGACTGAGATGTGAGAAGCCTCTCCATCAAGGACTGAGACATGGAACCCCCATGTGAAAAGGCCCCTCTCTCCTCCTTCCAAGGACTGGGACTGAAACCCCCAGCCCGGGGGAGGTGTGTGGGAGATCAAAGCTGACCAGAGCAAGATGTTTGCCTGCAGGTTGTGACCACTGGAACAAGAAAACAATGGCTCTCACCTGCTGCCAAGCTTGGACTCTGTGTACCCCTGTTGCAGTGTGGTGCCATTTCCTGTTTCACCTATCCCAACCCCTCAGGTGTGCCAACCTTTCCTTTTCCCTCCCCCTTTGCCCTCCTGCTAAGAGCTGTCCATCAATCTTAACATTCCAGCAGGGTTGTGGTGTGGTTGGCAGAAGTTCAAAAGATGCCCCTCAGGTCCGGCCTGTCCAAGCGTCTTTATCCCTTGAGCCTTCCCCTCCTCCCACCTGGTTGGTCCTCACCTGTCCCTTCCCCTCCCCCTGTCCCCGGGCTTAAAAGGAGACGGGACCATGCGGTCGGGATTCTATTGGGAGCTGTTTCAGAGGTCTACCATCCTGGAATAAAACTCTGGATTAAAACTCTACGATAGAATCCTCTCCTTTCTCTTCACCATTGCCTGAACCTTTTCCACCAGAGGTAAACTGAGTTCCTACTTTGCCTGGATTTGTTCCGAGTGCCTAGCTGCAGCACCCAGCTGGCCAAAGGTACCTCTGAGGTGAAACACCACAGCTTCTGCCTTTGGCCCAGCAGCAAGGGTCAGACGGGGCCAGGCACGTCCAGCCGGAAATATTGGGATTAATATTCCATATACCCCCCTTTCTATTCTTCCCCCCTGAAGATCTTTGTTTCAGTTGTGAAATTTATTCTCCCTTCCCCCATTGAAAGAGAGTGTAATCGGTGTCCAGATGAACTGTGCCTCTGAGATCTCCCCAGCGTAACAGGCGGATCCTCGACTGGAGCGGACCAAAGGACTTTGTCTCTACGTTTGGTAGCTATACCCCCCTCTTTCTCTCTCTCTTTTCTCTCTCTTTCTCTATATTTTTCTCTCCCTTAATCCCTCTATCTCATTTTGTTGTGGTCATTCAAACAGGTGTATTTGTTTTGATTATCACTGCAAACCCCCTGTGCCATGTTGGATCCTTGCACCCTGAGATCCAATCCAGGAACCATCACAAACCCCGTTCATAAGGACGGACTGTGACAGCAGCAGGCAGAGGAGCCTCAGGGCAGGTTCCCTGTGGGCCTCAAATGCCCTGCCTCTCTCCAGGCTGCTCCCAGTACAAAGGGAAGCCCCTGGTGTGCTCGGCTGGTTTGGCTGCAGAGGCAGCTGCACAAAGAGCATCCCACTCCTCACTTGGATGTCCCATCACCAGGAGAGCAGCACAGCCCAAAGAGCAAGCAGAAGAGGACAGCAGTTCCCAGCCTGGCCTGGAAAGCTCTGGATGCAGCAGCTCCATCCCTGTGCTGTGCAGTTTCACCCTCTGATATGTGCAGAGAAAAGGTCAAGCCAGAGAAGACCCCTGAACTTCATCCTTTTGAGATACTTTCCACCCTGAGAAATGCAGTGGAAACATCAGCAATGTTCGCAGGGCTGCAGTTTTCCCCTCCCACTGGCCACAGCAGTAGCCAGACCACCGAGAGGTTTCAAAGAAATAAACTTCTCTGAAGCAGATAACACAAACCACAGCGAGCTGAGAGCAGCACAGGGCAAAGGAAACAAATGCTGCAGGCTGCTGAGGAGCCCCAGGCACTGGGAGCAGCAGCAGAGCTGCAGAGGGACCAGTGCAGCCTCTGTGTCCTGCCTGTGGCAGTGACAGCCCCACGGTTAGAACCCCATGGAGCTGACACCAGGGTGAACAAATAGGGTTTGGGGCTATTTTACACCACTTTGTCTCTCTCACTTCTCAGTGAGAAGTGCTTCTGGGGCCAGAGGTCACTCAGAGGGAGCCTTTGGGGACAGACAGCAGCAATTCTGCTCAGCCACCAGTGCCCAGCTCCAAACTGTGGATTGAGATCAGCCCCTTCCTGCTGGGCTTGGGCTGCCTGCTCTGTGCTGCCCACCCCACACCTCCCCAGGCCCCAGATCCTGATGGTTCAGAGCTGGAGCTCCAAAGCCTCATGGAGAGGGCCCTGTGCAGTGCCAAGCAGGCAGCAAAGAGGGATGATGGCACTGTCATATTTTCTGAAAAATCCTTTCGCCGGGATTTCTTCTCCTGGGAAGCTGAGAAGCCTCAGAGAAAAAGGAAAACAAGAATTATCTGATTGCTTCTCCTGTGTTTTGCTGCTTTGGAATGTGGTCTGGAGATTGTTTATCCAACATGTGAATTGTTTTAACTTAATGACCAATCACCATCAGCTGTGTCAGACTCTGAGGAGTCAGTCATGAGCTTTCATTGTCATATTCTTGTTAAACCTTCTGTCTGTATCCTCCTCTTTCTTGAGTATAGGTTTAGTATAGCATTCTTTAATACAATATAATATCATAAAACAATAAATCAGCCTTCTGAGAACATGGAGTCAGATTCTCATCTCTCACCTCATCCTGGGGACCTCGCAAACACCACAGGAGGAGGCTCCCAGGTTTCTGCCAGGCTGCTGGAGGAGGAATGGGGCCCTGAGCCCTGATCACAGAGGCCTTGCAGTGCCTTGGCCATGGCCCAGCACCAAATGAGGAGAGGACAGCACCACTCACTAGAAAAATATATATTTACCATCTGTGTTTTTCTCAGGAGGGAACATCCCATGGCAAAGCCATGCACTGACAGTGCCAGGTGTCACCAGCTGCACCAGGACAGGGGGGGCAGAGCAGCCCCCATGGAGAGCCCCCATGTGCTGAAGGTGAGGAGGGGGCTCGAGGTGCTGCCTTCACCTCAAACCCCAGTGCCCTGCCCTGTTGTGTGCAGAGCCCATGGGCAGCCCCACACCATGCTGTGCTCACACTGCCACATCTGGGACACCCCCAGGGCACTGCTGCTCCTGGCACCTTCCTTGCAAGGCACTTGGGATAAGTTAAATAAAGAGGGTGGGGAGCATTTCCTGGGCTGGGAATGGTCCATAGCTTAACAGAGAGGCTGAACACAGCCCTGTCCCAGCCCAGCTGGCAGGAGGGACAGCAGTGCCAGTGCTGGGCAGTGCCAGCCATGGCTCAGGGGGAGCAGCTGGTCACACTGCTCATCCCACACCACTGTGGTGTCATGGCACAACACAGACACCTCCTTAACACCCCCAGCTGTCCCCAGCAGTCTGTGCCACCACGGGGAGCAGGTCCCACCATCTTCTCAGGCAGCAGGTAGTGAGTTCCAGCAGGGTCTGCAGCACGCCACATTCTGAGTTTGGTGGGTTTTTGTCAGGAGAACACGTGCAATTCTGTTCAGGCTGATGCAGCACAGCCCTGGTGCTTTCAAACCTTTCCCATTGCTTGGATCCCCTTGTGCTGAAGCCCAAACATGGTTTCTGGTGGGTTTGGTGGTGCCCAGGCAGCTCCCAGCCCTCACACATCCATGTGGGGCTGTGTGTGTGTGTGTGTGTGAAGGGGCTGCCAGCCATGGTCCACTTCAAAGCTTAAACAAACCAAAGAAAGTCTTGGATTCCTCAAAGTTGACCAGGGCGATTTTGGAGACGTTGACGTGCAGGCTGTCCATCCTCCTGAGCCTGAAGAGAGCCCCCAGGTAGCTGCTGCGGGCCCACATCCTCTGGCCCGAGCAGAAGTTGGTGGCTCTGTCCTCCATGAGCACCAGGCTGCCCGGGGAGGCCGGGTTCCTCTTGTACACCACGTGGGCCAGGAGCTGGGGGTCACAGGCCGTGCCCCGGAACAGCACCTGCGAGTACACAAAGTACAGCCCCGGCTCGCTGACCCGCAGCCCCCGCTCCTCGTACTGGATGCCGCTGGTGTAGGCATGGCCAGAGCTGGGCTCCCACTCCAGAGGCAGCCCCTGCTGGGCTGGGTTGCCTGGAAGGGAAACAAGGCCAAGGAAAAGATTGGGAAGTGGATTTGGTAGGGTGGGTTTGGCTCAGGTCACACCCCACAGCACAAGGCAGTGCTCTGCTGTTGCAGTGGGATGCCATAGCCTGTCTCAGATATCCCTGTTCCCTCCCCAGGCGTGCCAACCACCTCTCCCTTCCCCTCCCTTGCCCCTGCTGAGGGCTGTCCGTCAATCTTGGCATTCCAGAAGGGCCTCGAGTGATTGGCAAAGTTCAAAAGATGCCTTACACCCCTTGAGGGCCATTGGGCCATCCAGGTGTCATTTGTCCCCTGAGACTCCCCCTCCTGTACCTGGCTGGTGGCTCCCTACCCCTCCCCTGCCCCTCTCCCCGGGGTTCAAAGACACAGCAGCCACGCTGTGGTTCTGTTGGAGCTGGTGCTGCATTCAGAGCCCTGTGGGCCAGGAATAAAGCTCTGGATCCAAACCCTCCATCAGAACCGACTCCTTTCCTTCACCTCGCCTTGAAGCTTCTCCACCAGAGCTAAACCTGAGCTCCTGCAGGCCTGGACTTGTCCCCAGTGCCAGCTGCAGCATCCAGCCAGCCAAAGGTGTCTCTGAGGTGAAACCACCACAGCTGCTGCCTCTGGTCAAGCAGCAAGGGCCAGATGAGCCCAGGCACGTTCCATCCGGCAATATTGGGATTTAATTCCAATATTCTCCAAGCTTTGCCTGCAGTGTGGAAAGTCCTCCTGGGCCTCACCCCTCACCAACACCAGCCCCAGTGCCACTCCTGCCCTGTACAGCCCAAAAACCGAGCCAAAGCCAGGCCTCACTGAGTGGCACAAGTGAGGGGGAGGGTTTTGTCTGTGGAGCAAATTTCCACTGTCAGAGCAGATGTGTCACCTGAGGAGAGCAGCAGGGCCTGTGTGGGGTGGGCTCCTCATAACTCCAGCCATGGCATCCCCTGACCCCATCCCACCTGCCATGGCATCCCCTGATCCCACCCCACCTGCCATGGCACCCTCTGTCCCCCTCTCAGGTGCCATGATACCCTCTGGTCCCACCCCAGGTGCCGTCTGGCCCCACCCCAGCTGCCTTGGCACCCTCTGATCCCATCCCAGGTGCCATGGCACCCTCTGATCCTGTTCCAGCTGGCTTGCCACCCTCTGATCCTGTTCCAGCTGCCTTGGCACCCTCTGTCCCCATTCCAGGTGCCATGGCACCCTCTGCCCCCCTCCCAGGTGCCAGCCCTGTCCCCCAGCACGTACCTGTGACATGGGCTGCCCTCCTGGCCTCCTTCCTGTGCCCTGCACAAAGAGAGGGAACATTGGCCACGAGCTCCATGGAGGAGCAGGGGACACCTGAGACCCTGCATACCACCCATGGCACTGGGCAGGCAGGAGCTGGAGCTGTGCTCAGGAGGGGAGAGCAGAGCTGGGGAAGCTCTGCCTGCCCTGCAGGGCTGAGCTCCCTCTGGAGAGATGGGCCCATTCCAGTGACTCGGTGTTAGGAGCCCATCCACTCCATCCCTTCATTTTCCCCAACATCTCCTTCATCTTCTCTAATTTCAGAATCATCCTTTTCTCTTTTCTTTTCTTTTTTCTTTTCTTTTCTTTTCTTTTCTTTTCTTTTCTTTTCTTTTCTTTTCTTTTCTTTTCTTTTCTTTTCTTTTCTTTTCTTTTCTTTTCTTTTTTCTTTTCTTTTCTTTTTTCTTTTCTTTTCTTTTCTTTTCTCAAGCCTATTAAATTTTCCTCTTTGCTCCCCCTCCTCCTTTACACTATTCCCCTGTTTCTATTCCTTTATCCAGCCCCCTCCAGAAATTCAGGTTTATTATTTATGTTCAGCTTCTGCTAAAGAAGTTGTGATCAGAGCACTGAGCATCCAGTTCAAATGAGCTCCCCTTCCCCTAAAGGGAAAATTTATTGGTATAGGAGTTGATGAAAACCAGGACTTCCCTTTCTCAATAATTTTGCTATTTCAAATTTTTTTTTTTAATTCAGTATCAGAACTAATTTGAAAACAAGTTTTCTAATTAATAAAATTCTCAAGGGGGAACAAATTAAAACTTTTCAGAGCTAGAAAAAACTGTCAAGAAGAGTGAAAATTTCTTTCTGACTTGGCCATTTTTGAAAAGGATATCCTCACTTATTAACATGGAATGCAAAAGAAAAACAACAGTTTGGAAGTTCAAACCACAATTTTTAAATTGTTCCACCTAAATTGAAACTTTTTTTTTTTTTTTATGAAATCAAAACCATCTAAATGAAATCTAGGAAAATTGGCAGGTTCTTGTGAAAGTTTCAATTTCGCTGTGTTCCCCCTGCAGGCACGGACTCACCTGTGAGTTTCTGAGCGGCGGGAGGGATGTGCTCAGCGCTGGCAGCCTGGCAGGAGAGAAGAGGAACATTGGCTTAGAGCGTGAGCAGCCTTTGGCAGTGCTTAAATCTGGGGATTAACTCCATGGGGAGCTGCAAAGTGCTGAGAAATACACAGGGAGAGAGCAGGCAGGAGCACAGATATCCTGATAGAGCAGTCCCTGAGGGAACAAGCACCCTGTTCCTCTGTGCCAGCAGCCACCGAAATGCCACCCTGGTGCCCCTTGGGAGCATCTCAGCCCATTCCAAGGGTTCCTTTCCCCCTTTCCCCAGGGACCTGCGCCCAGCCAGGCAAACCTCACCTCTCTGAGTTCATCCACTTCCTTCTCCAGGTGAAAAATCTTAAATATGCTCAGCCCCACTCCGGTGAAGGCCACCAGGATCAGCAGGAACATCACGAGGAAGCCGGCGCTGCCCCTTTTCCCGCGCTCCCTTCCTTTGTTCCGGGGTTTTCTGCTCCGGTCCGGGACGGGCGGTGGGAAGGGAGCCGTGGGGACAGCGGGGGCGCAGGGAGCGCCTGTCTCGGCACAGCCATCCACCCAGAAGATGTGCGGGCAGTAATTCAGGTTCTGCTGCACGGGGGGCAGCGGCACGGGCCGGACCTGCCCGCCGGGCTCGTCCCCGCGGCAGCCGAACCCCGCTCTGCCCTGCGGCGGCTGCATCCGTGCGCTGCGAGAGAAGGATGCTGAGGAAGGATGCTGTGGCTTCGAGAGGCTCCGAGCATCAGCAGCAGAGCCCTTTCCGGCCCCGCAGGACCCACCCTCCTCCCACAGCCCCGCTCCGGGGGCTCCCGCAGCCGCTCCCCAAAATCTGCTGCCTCCGCACCGCCCGCAGGGCTGGGGAGCTGCAGGAAGGACAAAGCCTGCGGCATCCCGCACGGCAAGGGACAGGCAGAGCCCAGGATGGACAAAGCCTGCGGCATCCCGCACGGCAAGGGACAGACAGAGCCCGGGATGGACAAAGCCTGCGGCATCCCGCACGGCAAGGGACAGACAGAGCCCTCCCCGGCAGGGGATGTGGTACCGAGCCCGTGGGATGAGGGATGAGGGATGAGGGATGAGGGATGAGGGATGAGGGATGAGGGATGAGGGATGAGGGATGAGGGATGAGGGATGAGGGTGGCTCCGTTCCTGCTCCCCGAGCATCCCTCCCTGCCTGTGAAAAATGCATGTATTTTATGATTGGCTTTTTGCAAATATTAAAATGAATATTATATGTGTTGTGTTAGAAAGTAATGCTGTATTAATTCTCTTATGTAGTGTGTTAAATATAGTTTTAGGTTATAAAAATTGTTAAAATGGAAATGATGCTATGTAAGATACTTTTTTTTAAAGAAAGGACTTGCAGGGAGATAGGAGCCACAGGACACCTGAATCTTTCAGAAAAAAAGAATTTATTGCTCCATTATCAGAAGAAATGAACTTCTTCCGGCCTCGAAGGCGCTGTTAGGATTCAGAGGAAGAAGGACACTGACCAGACAGAATCCTGTGTTTGAATGGAATTTATGCATCATCTATGAGGTGTATGAATATGCAACAGGCTGTTGCTTTAAAGGGTTAATCCTCTGTTAACGGGGGTCCTTTTTTGGGCTTGTGCTGCCCACAAAAAGGTACCCATATGTCCATAATTCTTTGTTTCTGTTGTCTCATATTGTCCTAATTCAATTTGTCCAAATTATTATTACTCTAATTATATTACTATTTTTATAACCATTTTATTACTATTAAACTTTTAAAATTTTAAAAACAAGTGATTGGCGTTTTTCACACTGCCTTTCCCCACTCCACAGGGCACAGCCCGGGCACAGCCTGGGCACAGCCTGGGCACAGTTTGGGCACAGACTGGGCACAGTTTGGGCACAGCCTGGGCACAGCCAGCTCCAGGGCTGCTCTCCTGCCTTCCAAGGAAAAACAGAGTCCAGACCGTGCTGCACTGCTAAGAGCTCATTACAATATCCTAATGAGGAGAGACAGGGATATCTCCATTTTCCAATTTCCATTCCTCATGTACTGCAGATTTTTAAGTGGGGACAGCGAGATTTCCCCACAGATTTCCACACATGAAAGTATTAGGAAAATAAGAATTAATAAAATAAAATAATAAATTCAGAAAAAGTATTAGGAATACTTTTTCTTTCACTTTACAGACAGGTGTTGAAGTGTGTATTTCCATGGGGCAGTGTTAAAAAAAGGAAATGCTTAACACAAGAGCAAACCAGAGATTAGTCTCCTGTGGTTGAAGGAAGCAATCACAATACACAGGCTTTGATCTTGAACATCAAAACTGGGATCTGAAAAGGGCACATCTGAACCTTTGTACACTTGTTTCTCCAAAGCAAGGGCTCAGCTTTGCCTGCAACCACACCAATAAATCAGATGTGCCTACAAAGTCTTGCACCACCAGACACCCCAGTGCTCTTTGAAGATATTCACCAGCCCTTTGCTTCAGCAGCAATCCACAGCACAGGTTTCAATAACCCCATCTGGCTCTTCCTCACACGTCAGGGTTTAAGAGACACAAAAGCAACAAAAATCCAACTCTGACAAGGTCAAGCTTGGTCACACCTGGCCTGGCTCAGTCCCTCTGCCTCTGTCCCAGAGCAGCCACACAAGGACAGATCCCCATCCTCTCCCACAGCCACTACAAGAGAGGGTAACACGGTGGCTTTGCCTGGGGAGGATCCACTTCCACATTCTTCCGACACTGTGTTAATGCCAACAGCTTGTTAAGGTGGGACTGAAGAGAGAGTAGCAGCTTCCCTTAAATGCCACAAGTGTTCTTACTCCACACCCACTGCTTCCCACTTTCACAAAGATGCTTTTTTAAAGGGTGGCTGAGAGGGAGAGAAAGGAAACCAAGTGAAGCCATTTCAGCTGCACCTGCTTTTTTGGGTGCCCAGATCAAGAGCCTGCTAATACCCCATGTGGAGGCAAAACAAAGGTTGGGCCTATTTTACCATCTAAAATGTTCTAAAATGTTTAGTGCCCAACATGCTTCCAGGGACCTCTCCCTCTCCTCTCCTGCTGTCACTCTCTGTTTTCCTGCCACCCCCTTCAGACACCATAAGATGCCAGACACTGACTGGGAGATGGTGCCAGGCAGGGCTGTGTCTGCACAGCACATCAGGATCACAGAGCCTGGGGCTGGAAGGGACCCCTGGAGATCCTCTAGGCCAAAAACAAAAGCAGGTAGTGGTGCCTGCAGGCTCTGTGTTCTGCTGGCTTCCTGTGCTCAAATGACAGGATAGGAGCAGGACTGCTGAAATCATGGCAGGACAATTTGCTGCAGGTAGGCACTTCAGTCAGGGGAATTTTGCTAGAAGGGCTAGAGCCAGAATTTCGAGAAAGCTGAGGCCTCCTAACAAGGACAGCTGGGCATGAGAAGGACAGAAGGGGTGTCAGATTTGCCTCCACCACCCTATCCCCTTCTTGAACCAGCCTGCACACCCTGTTTCCAAGCAGCCCTGTTATGTCATTTGGTCAGGAAGGAATATTTTCCAATGGAAACACCTTCCATAGCACTCATGAGAGAATTGTTCCCCTTTACCAAACCAAAAAAAAAAAAAAACTTTACACAGACTGTGAAAGAGGATTTGCTCAGAAGAACACTCTCCTTCCCCAGCTCACCCCCAGAGGAGAGGTGGGAGCTCTTATTAACAAGACACACAATTATGCTGAATTTGATGGCAGAGAATCAGCCAGCAGCCAAGAGTTTGTACCAGCAGGACTTAGGGACCTGCCTGAAACAGCCCAAAGCAAGCAGGACTTGAACAATGATCCAGATCTAATGCTTGACAGAAAACCAACCCTGAAACTCAAAACAAAAACTGAAGTGTGAACCTCTGTGTAGGAGAGGCTCTCACTGTGTTTTGGACAGAGTCTCTCTGGAAGCAATTAACAAATATTTCCTATTACACTAATGACTAGTGGAAATGTTAAAAAGCAACTCTTGAAAGCCAACAGGGCTGCAGGAATTACACCCAAGAGCAACAGAGTAAGTTGAGAATCATTCGCATTCAAAAACACAATAAGGATTCAACATCACGAGCACAGAGAATTGAATCAGAAGAAAACAAGGCTAGAAACAGAGACTGCAGACCAAGCTCTTTGGGTAGAAAACAACGTGCTAGAAAGAAAACAAGTGTGAAGTTGAGAGGCTCCTCAGCTGGACATGAGCTTCCAGCAGGGAAAGCCCACAGGCTCCTGTGAGAGCTCACACAGCTCTGGGCATAGACCCTGCCCTAGAGATCCCCTGGAGCCTATGGGGCAGACAGAATCCATGGGGCACAGGGGATCTGTAGGGCAGACACTCCTGGAACTCACTCCACAAGGCTTTGTTCAACTCCAGAGAGGCTCTGGAAGAAGTTGCAGGAGCTGTTGGACAGAAAGGAGCTTCAAATCTGTCTGTTCAAGAGCAAATTGGCAGGGAGGGATGGACAGCTTGTGGAAAACCTGTGAAGAGAGGGATGATTTCCAGCAGCAGAGAGCTCTAAAATCTCACAGAATAAAAAGCCTCCCAAGGAGCCACTCGTTGTGAGCCAAATCTGAAGGAGTTTGAACAAAAAATGGATTTTTGAGTGAACACTGGTATGGATGGTTGTGAGAGCTGCCTCCAAAGGGAGTGGGTCCCCACTTGCTGAAGCCTCAGAGGGGTGTGGAAGGCATCAGAACTCACCCAGCCTTTGCAGCTAGCACCAACATCTTCATGTTGTTTCCTCTATTACGTGTTTATTAACAGTTTCATTTCTCGAATTTCCTCCACGACTGCTTTCCTTGCTAGGAGCATTTGTTGCACACATAAGCCATGACAAGGACATTCAGATATTCACACACAATAGCAGGTTTTAAAGTCCACTGTTAACAGCCCTGGCCTGGCATTACAGTGCTTAATACATCTCTCTTCCATGGAGCAAGGTGCTCTCTGCTCTCCTGCACCCTGATTCCAACAAGCAGCCAGCAGCCCTGGATTCAGCAGAAGAGGCCTCTGAGGTGAGAGAGAACCCAAGGAGCCAAAGCAGATGAGGAAAAGAGTAACTAAAATATTACTCTGCTGCTTTCATTTCTTTTGTGCCTGTGGTAAGGGCAGGGAAATGAGGTGGAGTGGCTGTGAGGTAAAGGGCTCTATTCTGAGAACAGAGCAGCAGGGTCATTCCTTGGTGCCACAGGACAAAACAGAACAAGGTGCTGGGGCCAGCTGTGAGGAAGACCAAGAGAACATGCAGGTGTTGAGTTCCTGTCCCCTCAGCTGAAGGGAGAACAGGACATTCCCAAGGGTCTCATTCCCAAGACCTTCTGCAGGGTCTGTGCTCTCCTGCCCCAGCCTCTGGGCACAAAGGCAGCCCCAGCCCTGGCTCTGCTGGCCAGGGAGCCTGGTCAGTGTTTGACAGTTTAATTTCTTCTTGGGAGCAGCCAGTCTCAGCCCATTCAAGGCAAACAAACTGTAACTGTGTCATCACAACTCACAAAATCTTCAGTAGCTGCTGCTTTCAGTTATTTTTCTGGGAAAAGAGAAACAGCAGCCAGGGACTGTTGTTTGCTGCGAGCTCACTGAGGGCACCGCAGCTGGACCAGGCTCCAACCACATCTGACAGGGGAGAAAAACAGGGCAGAAAAACAGGCCCCAAGGTGGCAAACGCTTCCTTTGCATCTCTGGGTCCACAAGG